TGTCATGTGTTAAGCTATTCCACTGTGGGGTGAATTACTATATTGCAGTAGATAACTAGAGCAATACCTACGTAAAGATATGGTTTGGCTTTGCTTTTTCTTTTATAGAAATGGGATGGTATCCTTTGTATTGATTTGCAATAAGCAATTTTTTTTCCTGTGTAACACTTTAACCTGTTGGTCATTCTATCTCAATACATAAAGATTTATTAACTACTACAAACATATTTCCTATGGATATGCTATCATTGAAACATTCCTTAATAAAGGAATGATCAATGATTAGAGTGTTTCAAATTTTTCTTTCTGGCCAATCATTCTGAGATAAATACCTGTGTGTTGTCTCATCCTGCACACGGATATTTCTCTGTGATGGATACATAAAGATCAAATTTTAGCCAAAAGGTTTTCACACTATCTGTAGATGCTAAGGCAACTCCATCTTTGATGCTAGTCCACCACATTGATGTCTGATTAAGCCCACTTCCAGGAAGGCCTCTAAGATTTCTATGATTTCTACATTACCTGCTTTAAGATACATCCCACCAGCATCTGTAAATACTTACTTCTCTTTACCATTGCTGTCATTGGATATTAACCAAATAAATTTTTTCCTGTCTTGAGGAAAAGAAAAGTTATATATAATACATTATATTTATAATTTAAATATTACATATATGGTACATATATAATATATCCATATATTATAGATTTTATTTTATTATTATTATTTTTTGAGATGGGGTCTCCCTCTGTCACCCAGACTAGGAGTGCAGTGGCACAACCTCGGCTCACTGAAACCTCTGACTCCCGTGTTCAAGCAATTCCCTTACTTCAGCCCCCCAAGTAGCTGGGACTACAGGTGCCCGCCACCACGCCTGGCTAAATTTTGAATTTTTTTTTTTTTAGTAGAGACGGGGTTTTGCCATGTTGGCCAGGCTGGTCTCAAACTCCTGACCTCAGGTCGTCTACCTGCTTCAGTCTCCCAAAGTGCTGGATTACAGGCATGAGCCACCACACCAGCTTGTGTTGTATATTTTCGGTATACAAATGTATGTACTAAGAATATATAATTTGCACTTCCCTTGTTTCTGTTGCCTTTGTGCAACTTTTCAGATGTGTATTGGCCATTTGTATTTATTCTAAAATCATTCATTTTTCTGTTTATTACAAACCTATTTTCTGCAAGTCTGTTATTGTTATTTTATATTTGTTTATGGCAGCTTTGTCATGACAAGATTTAAACTTTGAGATCATCATCTCTGAGCTCTCTTCTTTATAGAATTTATATTATATTTTGCTTAAGAAAGTCATTCCCACCCCAAAATTATAAAATATTCTCTTACAGTCTTTCCATTTTTTAGAATATCTCTTTTGTTTATATGGAATTTATTTTGGTTTTTAGGTGGTGAGTTAGTGAAATTCTTCGACTACAGTGGGAGAATGTGAGGGATGCCATGTGGTGTAGGGAGAGAATGCTGGTCCTGAAGCCAGAGGAGCTGGTTTCAGTCTCTGGCAGGTACCAGCTGTGTGATCTGAGTGGAGTTTCTTCATTTCCCTGATGCTCAGTTCCTCATTCATAAAATGAATATTGATGCTTACCCCTCAGAGTGTTAATTCATATGAAGTTTAAATGAGATAATGAATTGTCCATTTTCACATTGCTATAAAAAACTGCCCAAAACCGGGTAATTCATGAAGGAAAGGGGCTTAATTGACCCACAGTTGCATATGGCTGGGGAAGCCTCAGGAAGTTTACAATCATGGCGGAAGATGAAGGGGAAGCAAGGCACATCTTACATGGTGGCAGGAGAGAGAGAGAGAGAGAGAACACGAAGGGATAAGTTCCACACTTTTAAACCATCAGAGCGCGTCTGTTTACTCACTCACTATAACAAGAACAGCATAGGGAAAATCCACCCCCATGATTCAGTCACCTTTCATCAGGTCCCTCCCTTGACATGAGGGGATTACCATTTGAGTGAGGTTTGGGTGGGGACACAGAGCCAAACCATATCAGATAATATATGTAAAAGTGCCTGTAATTTAATGATGTGTATTAACCCCTCTAAGTATTTCCTCAAATGGATGGTCATTGTCTCAACCCAATATTGAATACTCTATTACCTTCTCGCTCAAGAAATGTCAGCTCTATGAGATATTAAATTTTTATAGACAAATGGGTGTCTCAATTAGTTTCCACTGATTTATTCATTTATTTCTTTGAAAAATCTTCACTGTTTTCATTTCACTAACTTTATAGAATTTTTAAAATATTTAATAGCGCAAGCACTCTGTTTGCTTCCTGTATTAGCTCATTCTCACATTGCTGTAAAGACCTACCTGAGACTGGGTAATTTATGAAGAAAAGAGGTTTAATTAGCCCGTGGCTCTGCAGGCTGCACAGGGAGCACGGCTGCGGAGGCTTCAAGAAACTTAGAATCTGGTGAAAGGCAAAGGGGAAGCAGGTATGTCCTACCTGGCCAAAGCAGGGGGAAGAGACAACGGGGAGGTGCTAACACTTTTAAACAAACAGATCTCATGAGAACTCACTATCGTGAGAACAACAAGGAGGGAAACCCACCCCCATGATCCAGTCACCCCCCACCAGGCCCCTCCTCCAACAATGGGGATTACAATTTGACCTGAGATTTGGGCAGAGACACAGGTCTAAACCATATCACTCCCATTAACTGTTTCATATTAACTTGGAGAACACCTATACATTTGGAATATGTACCTTCTCATGCGAGATATGAGGATTTTCATTTATTCATGCTGTTTATGATCACCTTCAGTTATATTTTACAGTTTTCTTCACGTTTCTTTCTGGTGTGTTGTGTTTTGGCTGCTACCACACATGGATCAATTTTTCCATGACTTTGTTCTATTGGTTCCTATTTACATGTAATAACAAGTTAATGTTTGTATGTTGTTCAGATCTAGCCACCTTGCTGATATTTCTCATTTGTTCTAGAGGTTTGTCGTGGACTCTCATAGACTTTCTAGGAAGACGACTGTCACTACAAAATGGCCAGTGTGCCATGCCCATGACTGATAGTGGGCAGTCCTGCTTCCTTTCCTTTCCTCCTTTAATTTCCTCTTACTGAATGAGCTGGGACTTCAATGAAAGGTTAAATACAATTCGCAATAGCAGGCATCAGAGTCTTGTTCTGATTCAAATGGAAATGCTTTGAATATGTCACCATTATTCGGATCTGCCAGGTATTTCCAATAAATATTGTTTTGTCAGGTACAGGCAAGTTTCTGCCATGAGTTTTGGTATTTTTAGAGTATTACCAGAAGTTAATGCTGAATTCTGTCAAATACTTTTTTGGGGTTGGGGCTAGGGAGAGCTATGTGAGCTATGTGTGGATCTTCTCCATTTATTTAGTTATTTTACAGACAGGGTTTCATTGTGTCACCCAGGCTAGAGTGCAGTGCTGCACTCAAAGCCCATGGCAGCCTTGAACTCCTGGACTTAAGTAATCCTCCTGCCTCAGCCTCCTGAGTAGCTGGGACTACAAACGTGAGACAGCATCTTGGCTTTTTTTTTTTTCCAACTCAATAAATTTTGATCCCATTCTAGCAGGTGTAGCTTAAAAAATAAATAAAAGTAATAAATGAATTTTGAAAAACCTTGGCATTATTGGAATGGACTCAAAATAGCTGTGATAGATTATTCTTTTAGTCACTACTGTATTTGACTTGTTAATTTTTTTTTTTTTTTTTGAGACAGAGTCTTGCTCTGTCACCCAGGCTGGAGGGCAGTGGCATGATCTTGGCTCACTGCAACCTCCACCTCTCGGGTTCAAGAGATTCTCCTGCCTCAGCCTCCCAAGTAGCTGGGATTATAGGCCCCACCACCGTGCCCAGTTAATTTTTATATTTTTAGTAGAGACAGCATTTCATCATCTTGGCTAGTCTTGAACTCCTGACCTCAAGTGATCTGCCCACCTTAGCCTCCCAAAGTGCTGGTATTACAGGTGTGAGCTATTGTGCCTAGCATGATTTTATAATATTTTATTAGTAAGTTTGTGTTTCTGAGACAGGGCTTTTAAAAAAGCTATTCTCATAGGTTTGTTTGGGGGAGGTGTCAGGACTATTATTAACCTTATGAATTTAGGAGGTTTACCTCTTTTTTCATATGCCCTGGAAGCATTTGTTTGGTTTTGAAGGGCAAACTCCTCTTCAAGGGATTATTTCTTCCTTGACTATTTGTTAGAAATCACAGGCAAACAATAATTTTAGCAGTAAGTCTTTGACTACCTTTTCAATTTCTTTTATTCAGGGTCTCTCTCTGAGACAGAGTCTTGCTCTGTCACTCAGGCTGGAGTGCAGTGGCACAATCTCAGCATTCACCTGCCAGGTTCAAATGATTCTCCTGCCTCAGCCTCCTCTGTAGCTGGGATTACAGGTGTGTGCCACTGCACCCAGCTAATGTTTGTATTTTTAGTAGAGACAAGGTTTCACCGTGTTGACCAGGCTGGTCTCCAACTCCTGGCCTCAGGTGATCCACCTGCCTCAGCCTCCCAACGTGCTGGGATTACAGGCAGGAGCCACTGTGCCCAGCTCATTTTTTTATTTTTAGTAGAGACGGGGTTTCACCATGTTGACCAGGATGGTCTCGATCTCTTGACCTCGTGATCCACCTGCCTCGGCCTCCCAAAGTGCTGGGATTACAGGCAGGAGCCACTGTGCCCAGCCTCTATCTTTTCTTGACTCAGTCCTGTCACTTTGTTTTCTTTATTCCATATTATATTTTCCATGAAAATGCTGTATTTCATCTAGATCTTAAAATGCATTGGCATACCCTTGAAGACATCACTTACTTTTTAATAGCCTTGATGACTCTGGTTGTATTAACTTTCTCATTTCTATTATTATTCATCATATCTTCTATTTCTTTTTTTAATATATATTTTATTGCATTTTAGGTTTTGGGGTACATGTGCAGAACATGCAGGATTGTTGCATAGGTATGTACATGGCAATGTAGTTTGCTGTCTCCATTCCCATCACCTATATCTGGCATTTCTCCCAATGTTACCCCTCTCCAACTCCCTACCCCCCACTGTCCCTTCCCTAGTCCCCCACAACAGACCCCAGTGTGTGATGCTCCCCTCCCTGTGTCCATGTGTTCTCATACTTCAACACCTGCCTATGAGTGAGAACATGTGGTGTTTGATGTTCTGTTCTTGTGTCAGTTTTCTGAGAATGATGGTTTCCAGGCTCATCCATGTCCCTACAAAGGACACAAACTCATCATTTTTTATGACTGCGTAGTATTCCATGGTGTATACGTGCCACATTTTTCCTGTCCAGTCTATCATCGATGGTCATTTGGGTTGGTTTCAAGTCTTTGCTATTGTAAACAGTGCTGCAATGAACATACATGAGCATGTGTCCTTATAGTAGAACAATTTATAATCCTTTGCACATTGATTTTGTATCCTGAGACTTTGCTTTTCAGTTTAAGGAGATTTTGGGCTGAGACGAAGGGGTCCTCTAGATATACAATCATGCCGTCTGCAAATAGACAATTCGACTTCCTCCTTTCCTATTTGAATACGCTTTATTTCTTTTTCTTGCCTGATTGCTCTGGCTAGAACTTCCAGTACTATATTGAATAGGAGTGGTGAGAGAGGGCATTCTTGTCTAGTGCCAGATTTCAATGGGAGTGCTTCCAGTTTTTACCCATTCAGTATGATATTGGCTGTGGGTTTCTTGTAAATAGCTTTTATTATTTTAAGATATGTTCTGTTGATACCTAGTTTATTGAGAGTTTTTAGCATAAAGCACTGTTGAATTTTGTCAATTGCCTTCTCTGCATCTATTGAGATAATCATGTGGTTTTTGTCTTTGGTTCTGGTTATGTGGTGAATTACATTTATAGACTTGCGTATGTTGAACCAGCCTTGCATCCCCAGGATGAATCCCGCTTGATCATGATGGATAAGCTTTTTGATGTGCTGTTGCAATTGGTTTGCCAGTATTTTATTGAAGATTTTTGTATCTATGTTCATCATTGATATTGGACTGAAATTTTCTTTCCTTGTTGAGTCTCTGCTGGGTTTTGGTATCAGGATGATGTTGGTTTCATAAAAAGATTTGGGAAAGAGTCCCTCTTTTTGGATTGTTAGGAATAGTTTCAGAAGGAATGGTACCAGCTTCTCTTTGTATGTCTGGTAGAATTTGGCTGTGAACCCATCTGGACCTGGACTTTTTTTGGTTGGTAGGCTATTAATTGCTGCCTCAACTTCAGCCCATGTTATTGGTCTATTCAGGGTTTCAGCTTCTTCCTGGTTTAGGCTTGGGAGTGTGCAAGTGTCCAGGAATTTATCAATTTCTTCCAGGTTTACTGGTTTATGTGAATAGAGTTGTTTGTAGTAATAATCTCTGATGGTGCTTTTATTTCTGTGGAATCTGTGGTGATATCCCCTTTATCATTTTTTATTGAATCTATTTGATTATTCTCTCTTTTCTTTTTTATTAATCTGGCTAGCAGTCTGTCTATTTTGTTGATCTTTAAAAAAAAACAGCTCCTAGATTTATTGATTTTTTGAAGTGTTTTTTGTGTCTCTATCTCCTTCAGTTCTGCTCTGATCTTAATTATTTCTTGTCTTGTGCTGGGTTTTGAGTTTTTTTTTAATCTTTCTCCTCTAGCTCTTTCAATTTTGATGATAGGGTGTCAATTTTGGATCTCTCCACTCTTCTCATGTGGGCACTTATTGCTATATATTTTCCTCTAGAGACTGCTTTAAATGTGTCCCAGAGATTCTGGTACGTTGTGTCTTCGTTCTTGTTGGTTTCGAAGAACATCTTTATTTCTGCCTTCATTTCATTGTTTATCCAGTCAACATTCAAGAGCCAGTTGTTCAGTTTTCATGAAGCTGTGTGGTTCTGGGTTAGTTTCTGAATTCTGAGTTCTAATTTGATTACACTGTGGTCTGAGAGACTGTTTGTTATGACTTCAGTTGTTTTGCATTTGCTGAGTAGTGATTTACTTCCAATTATGTGGTCAATTTTAGAGTAGGTGTGATGTGGTGCTAAGAAGAACGTATATTCTGTGGATTTGGGGTGGAGAGTTCTGTAAATGTCTATTAGGTTTGCTTGGTCCAGTTATGAGTTCAAGTCCTGGATATCCTTGTTAATTTTCTGTCTCATTGATCTGTCTAATATTGACAGTGGAGTGTTAAAGTCTCCCACTATTATTATGTGGGAATCTAAATCTCTTTGTAGGTCATTAAGAACTTGCCTTATGTATCTGGGTGCTCCTATATTGGGCATGTATATATTTAGGATCATTAGCTCTTCTTGATGCATTGATCATTTTACCATTATGTAATACCCTTCTTTGTCTCTTTTGATCTTTGTTGGTTTAAAGTCCATTTTATCAGAGACTAGGATTGCAACTCCTGCTTTTTGTTGCTCTCCATTTGCTTGGTAGATCTTTCTCCACCCCTTTATTTTGAGCCTATGTGTATCCTTGCATGTGAGATTGGTTTCCTGGATACAGCACACCGATGGATTTTGACTTTTTATCCAATTTGCTAGTCTGTGTCTTTTGATTGGAGCATTTAACCCATTTATATTTAAGGTTAATTTTGTCATGTGTGAATTTGATCCTGCTATTTTGATGCTGCTGGTTGTTTTGCCCATTAGTTGACACAGTTTCTTCATTATCTTGATGCTCTTTACCATTTGGTATGTTTTTGGAGTGGCTGGTACTGGTTGTTCCTTTCTATGTTTAGTGCTTCTTTCAGGAGCTCATGTAAGACAGGCCTGGTGGTGATGAAATCTCTGCACAATTGCTTGTTCATAAAGGATTTTATTTCTCCTTTGCTTATGAAGCTTAGTTTGGCTGGATATGAAGTTCTAGGTTGAAAGTTCTTTTCTTTAAGGATGTTGAAAATTGGTCCCCACTCTCTTCTAGCTTGTAGGGTTTCTGCTGAGAGATCCACTGTGAGTCTGATGGGCTTCTCTTTATGGGTAACCCAATCTTTCTCTCTGGCTGTACTTAGCATTTTTTCCTTCATTTCAACCTTGGTGAATCTGATGATTATGTGCCTTGGGGTTGCTCTTCTTGAGGAATATCTTTGTGGTGTTCTCTGTATTTCCTGGGCTTAAATGTTGGCCTGCCTTGCTAGGTTGGGGAAGTTCTCCTGGTTAATATCCTGAAGAGTGTTTTCCAGCTTGGATTCATTGTCTTTATCACATTCAGGTGCACCTATCAAATGTAGATTAGGTCTTTTCACATAAGCTCATATTTCTTGGAGGCTTTGTTCATTTCTTTTTACTCCTTTTTCTCTAATCTTGCCTTCTCGTTTTATTTCATTGAGTTGATCTTCAATCTCTGATATCCTTTCTTCTGCTTAGTCGATTCAGGTACTGAAACATGTATATGCTTTGTGAAGTTCTTGTGTTGTGTTTTTCAGCTCCATCAATTCATTTATATTCCTCTCTAAGCTGTTTATTCTTGTTAGCATTTCATCAAACCTTTTTTCAAGGTTCTTAGTTATTTTACATTGGGTTAGAACATGATCTTTTAGCTCAGAGAAGTTTGTTATTATCCACCTTCTGAAGCCTGTTTCTGTCAATTCATCAGACTCATTCTCGGTCCAGCCTTGTTCCCTTGCTGGTGAGGAGTTGTGATCCCTTGGAGGAGGAGAGGCGTTCTGGTTTTGGGTATTTTCATCCTTTTTGCCCTGGTTTCTTCCCATCTTTGTGGCTTTATCTACTTGTGGTCTTTGTGGTTGGTGACTTTCAGATGGGGTCTCTGAGTGGACATCCTTTTTGTTGATCATGAAGTTATTTCTTTCGGTTTCTTAGTTTTCCTTCTAACAGTCAGGCCCCCCACTGCTTGTAAGACTGCTGGAGGTCCACTCCAGATGCTGCTTGCCTGGGGATCACCTGCAGCAGCTGCAGAAAAGTAAGGGTTGCTGCCAGTTTCTTCTTCTGTTATCTTTGTCCCAGAAGGACACCTGCCAGATGTCAGCCTTAGCTCTCCTTTATGAGGTGTCTCTTTGGTTATATGTGGGTCAGGGAGCTGTTTGGGGAGACAGTCTGTCCCTTCTAGGAACTCAAGTGCTGAGCTGTGAGCTCTGTTGCTTGTTCAGAGCTGCACAGCAGGTACATTTAAGTTGGAACTCATAACTGCTTTTTTTTTCTGGTCCAGTTAAGGTGGGGCTTTATTTATAAGTTCCTGTCATTCTGCTGCCTTTTTTCAGAGATACCCTGTCCATTGAGGAGGTAGCCTAGTGTGGGGAACCCAACTGTGTGAATATTTGCAAAGAGAATTCCACAATACAGATGGTTTTGAGCCCAGACACAGGGACACCTGAAAGAGGGAAGTTGAGATAACATTGAATCAGGGACAGACAAAGGAGAATCTCTTTAAAAGATAATCAGATGGTTGAAACCAGAAACACCTGCAGTCATGAGGAACAATGTCTGGATAAGTTTTGTGATCACAAGGGATTTCCATTACCTTTTATGACATTGATTATGTACCTGTCATCTTTATTGTGTAGGGCATGTGATGTATCTATCTGCTTTTCCCCTTGCAATACGTAAACCAGAGCCTGGAAAAATGTATATAATTGAAGACTTTGAGAAATAAAGCTGTTGTTGGAGCACTAACTCCTCAACCCTCCTGACCCCACTTCACTGTCTCCTTTTCTTCCTGTGCACCCTCCACTCTGGTTGGAATCCTCTTGCTGGACAAGAATTCCCTCCAGAGCCTAGTCACAGTCTGCCAGCAGAGGCATTGCTGAGCTGCCATGGGCTCTGCCCAGCTACTGTGAACTTCCTTGCAGTTTTGTTTATCAGGGTATGGTTAGAACTGCCTCAGTAATGGCATTCTGCCTCAGTAATGGTGGACTCTCTCTGCAATGGCAGACTGCCTCGGTAATGGTGAACTACCTCGGTAATGGTGAACTACCTCGGTAATGGTGGACTGCCTCAATAATGGCAGACTGCCTCAGTAGTGGTGGATTGCCTCTGTAATGGTGGACCCCCATTCTCCCACAGAGCTGAACCGTCCTGTATCCAGCTGTGCTTGCTGTGAAACTCTCAATCCAGAGTATGTCAGATTGCTGGTCTTTGTGGGGGTGAGACCAGCTGAACTAGATCACCTGGCTCCCGGTTTTAGCCCCCTTTTTTTCAGTTGAACGGGCAACTCTGTCTCCCAGGCATTCTAGTCGCCAGTCGAAATGGTGCCCAGATTTGTGTGAGTTTTTGTGCAGAGACTCGCTGCACCAGCTGAAACAGCCATGCTGGAGACTTGTGGTGCTTTTCTGCCCAGGAATCTCCTGGTCTCTGGGCAGTAAAAATTTGTTTGGAAATGCGGTGATCATTTACCCTCTGCATTTTCACTGGGAACTGAAATCCAGAGCTATTCCTATTTGGCCATCTTGGATCCTCTTATTTCTTAAATTGACTTGTCACATACTAGTTCATTTAATTGATCTTTACAATAAACCAGTATCTGGTTTTATTGATTAAATCTATTATTTTTCTTTTCTTTTCTTTTTTCTTTTGAGGCAGCGTTTCACTCTGTTGCCCAGGCTAGAGTGCAATGGCAAGATCTTGGTTCACTGCAGCCTGAACCTCCCAGGCTCAAGCAATTCTCCTGCCTCAGACTCCCAAGTAGCTGGGATTACAGGTGCATGCTACCACACCTGGCTAATTTTTGTATTTTTAGTAGAGATGGGGTTTCACCATGTTGGCCAGGCTGGTCTTAAATGCCTAACCTCAAATGATCCACCTGTCTTGGCCTCCAAAGTGCTGGGGTTACAGGCATGAGCCACCATGCCCGGCCTGTTTTTATTTTTCTTTTATTGATTTCCTGTTATTACTAGCCTGATTTTTATCTTTGAGGTTTTTTTTTCCATAGCTTCTTGAGTTAAAAGCCTCTTGTATTTTCAGTCTTTCTGGTTTTCCAATAAATGAATTTAACATCATAAAATTTCATCCAAATTCTCCTTTGTTTGCATCCCACATATTTATAATGTCATCCATTTCTAATAGCCTGTATTTTTAATTTTATGTTTTCTGTCATTGAATAGTTACTTAGAAGCATGTTTTAAATTTTTCATAGGTATAATACCCTCCTCTCACTATCCTGTTAATTTTTTCACTGATTTTATGATGCTGTGGCCAGACATTCTCTGGTCCACATGATTTCTGCTTTTCAGGAATCCTTTTGTTCCTCTGAAATTCTTGCACATGGTTAATCTACTTTTATTTAGATGTTGTGTAGTCACACTTATTTAATCTCTCAATTTCTGAGAAAAGTGTATTCATGTAATTACTAAGGTTGTGGATTTGTTTCTTTTCTTTTTTTTTTTTTTTGAGATGGAGTCTTGCTCTGTTGCCTAGGCTGGAGTGCAGTGGTGTGATCTCTGCTCACTGCAACCTCCACCTCCTGGGTTCAAGTGATTCTCCTACCTCAGCCTCCCTAGTAGCTGGGATTACAGGTGTGTGCCACCACACCTGGTTAATTTTGTATTTTTAGTAGAGACAGGGTTTTGCCATGTTGGCCAGGCTGGCCAACTCCTGACCTCCAGTGATCTACCCACCTCGGCCTCCCAAAGTGCTGGGATTAGAGGTGTGAGCCACCATGCCCAGCTCCTGTTAGTTTCTTTTATTTCTACAAGTTTTCACTTATTGCATGTGTCATATGTATATACCTATATGTACATATATATTACTCTATGTATATATGTACTATATGTATACACACATATGTATATATTCATATATATCCACATTTTATACATATATGTATATATATGCTTCTGTGTATATATATATGGTATATGGCATGTATATATGTATATGGTATATATGTATATATGGTGGATGTAGTTTGCCTCTGTGTCCCCACCCAAATCTCATTTCCAATTGTAATGCCCACGTGTTTGGGAATGGGCCTGGTGAGAGGTGATTGAATCATGCGGGCAGATTTCCCCTTGCCCTTCTCATGATAGTGAGTGAGTTCTCACAGGCTGTTTGAAAATGTGTGGCACTTCCCCCCATTGCTCAAGCTCTCTCCTGCTCCATGGTAAGACATGCTTGCTTTCCTTTCACCTTCTACCACGATTGTAAGTTTCCTGACACCTCCTTAGCCATGCTGAACTGTGAGTCAATTAAACCTCTTTTCTTCACGAATTACCCACTCTCAGGTAGTTCTTTATAACCCTGTGAAAACAGACTAATACGAATTATGGTACCCAGAGTGGAGTACTGCTATAAAGATATTTGAAATTGTGGAGGTAACTTTGGAACTGGGTAATGGGCAAAGGTTGCAATAATTTGGAGGGCTCAGAAAAAGATAAAAAGATATAGGAAAGTTTGGTATTTCCTAGAGGCTCATTGAATGGTTTTGACCAAAATGCTGACAGTGATATGGATAATGAAGTTCAGGCTGAGGTGGTGTCAGATGGTGATAAGGAACTTATTCAGAACTGGAGATCAGGTTACTTTTGTTATGCTTTAGTAAAGAGCCTGGTGGCATTATGCCTCTGCCCTAGAGATCTGTAGAACTTTGAACTTGAGAGAGATGATTTAGGGTATCTGGCAGAAGAAAATTCCTAGACAGCAAAGCATTCAGGAAGTAACCTGGCTGCTCCTAACAGCATACAGTCATATAGGTTCACAAAGAGATGGTTTGAAATTGGAACTTTTGTTTAAAAGGGAAGCAAAGCATAATACATTTGGAAAATTTGCAGCCTATGCAATGTGGTAGAAAAGAAAAATCCATTTTCTGGGGGGAAATTTGAGTCAGCTGTAGAAATTTGCATAAGAGAAGCCAAATGTTAATAGCCAGGACAATGGGGAAAATGTCTCCAGGGCATTTCAGAGAGCTTCATGGCAGCCCCTCCTGTCATGGGTCCAGAGGCCTAGAAGGAAAAAATGATTTCATGGCCTGGGCCCAGGATCCCAATGCTCTGTGTAGCCTTGGGGCATGGCACCCTGTATCCCAGCTGTTCCAGCTCCATCTGTGGCTAAAAGAGGCTAAGGTGCAGCTTGGTCTCTAGCTTCAGGGGGTATAGGCCCCAAGCCTTGGTGGTTTCTTTCTTTCCCTCCTTCCTTATTTCTTTCTTATTGAGATGGAGTCTTGCTCTGTCACCCAGGTTGGAGTGCAGTGACGTGATCTTGGCTCACTGAAACCTCTGCCTCCTGGGTTCAAATGATTCACCTGCCTCAGCCTCCCAAGTAGCTGGGATTACATGTGCCTGCCACCATGGATGGCTAACTTTTGTATTTTTAGTAGAGACTGGGTTTCACCATCATGGCCAGGCTGGTCTTGAACTCCTGACCTTGTGATCCACCCACCTCGGCCTCCCAAAGTCCTGGGATTACAGGTGTGAGCCACTGTGCCTGGCCAGCATTGATGGTTTCTATGTGATGTTGGGCCTGCAGGTGAGCAGAAGGTAAGGATTGAGGCTTGGAAATCTCTGTGTAGATTTTAGAGGATGTATGGAAATGTCTGGATGCCCAGGCAGAAGTCTGCTGCAGGGACAGAGCCCTCATAGATAACCTTGAGGGGAAATGTGGGACTGGAACCCCTACACAAAGTTCCCACTGGGGCAATGTCTGGTGGAGCTGTGAGAAGAATGACACTGTCCTCCAGACCACAGAATGGTAGATCCACCAAACAGCTTGTACCATGTGCCTAGAAAAGCCACAGGCACTCAATACCAGCCTGCGAAGGCAGCCAAGGGGGCTGTACCCTGCAGAGCCACAAGGGTGGAGCTGCATAGTGTCTTGGGAGTCCACCCCTTGCATCAGCATGTCCTGGATGTGATACATGGAGTCAAAGGAGATGAATTTGGAGCTTTAAGATTTAATGACTACCCTGCTGGATTTCAGACTTATATGGGGCACATAGCCTGTTTGTTTTGGTCAATTTCTCCCTTTTGGAATAGGTGCATTTAGCCAATGCCTGCACCCAAGTCTATCTTGGAAGTAACTAACTTGCTTTTGATTTACAGGCTCATAGGCAGAGGGGACTTGCCTTGTCTCAGATGAGACTTTGTACTTGAACTTTTAAATTAATGTTGGAATGAGACTTTTTAGAGGACTGATGGGAAGGCATAATTCATTTTGAATGTGACAAGGACATGAGATTTGGGAGGGGCAAGGGGCAGAATGATATGGTTTGGCTCTGTGTCACCACCCAAATCTCATCTTGATTGTAATCTCCATGTGTCAGGGGAGGGGCCTTGTAGGAGGAGATTGCGTCATGGGGGTGAATTTCCTCCTTGCTGTTCTCACGATAGTGACTGAGTTCTCACAAGATTTAATCATTTGAAAGTGTGTGGCACTTCCCCCTTTGTTCTCTCTCTCTCTCTCTCTCGTTCTGCCATGGTAAGATGTGCCTGCTTCCCATTTGTCTTCTGCCATGATTGCAAGTTGCCTGAGGGCTCCTTGCCATGCTTTCTGTTAAGCCTGGGGAACTGTGACTCAATTAAACCTCTTTTATTCAGTCTCAGGTAGTTCTTTATAGCAGTATGAAAATGGACTAACACAGTGGTATATATATGTATATGATATAAACACATATATGTATAAAATGTAAAAATTTGTGTGTGTGTGTGTGTGTGTGTGTGTGTGTGTGTGTGTATGCTAGGTGCTTAACTGCTCATTATTGTTTTATCTTTTTGGGAGATTGTAACTTTTTCTCCATAGGTAAATATCCATTAAGAATTATTTAGACTTCATTCTAAATGGCTGTTCTGTTTTGGGTTCTGCTGAAGTTAAATAAAACGTGTAGTGACAAATCTCTAAATTTAATGTTTTACTTGGGATACAAGCATTGCAACTTGGGGCATACACACAGGTGGGTGTCTGCCCATTCAGCATGTCTGAGGAATAAAAAGGAGGTTGCAGTTTTTATAAAAAGGAGAAATATTGTGTGTTGCTCTTTGAGAAAGCTCATCGGCACTAGCAAAGTTAGGGGCAGCTGGAAAGCTCTGATTGGTGAGTGACAGTGGCAGTCATTAGTCTTAGAGTTGTAGCAGGTTGTGTCAGTAGCAGTTAGATAGAACTATCTCAGGCTATAGCAGGCAACCTCAGCAGCCAAGCATTCAGAAAAGTATGTTCTTGGAGCAATGTCATGTGCCCTGAGTGCATTTTCCTCTGGCTTATCGATTTATTTTAATTGGTTATGACAAGAGTGACCTAATTCATATGACCAACTTTCACAACTCCCCCTTTTGATCAAGATCTTTCTCTGAAGCAGCACTGATCAACCCTTTTGAAGTTAGGCTTAATGTTCCTTCAGTGCCAGGGTGGATCTGTCACAGTTGTCTCTGTCCCATGTCAGTGTTAAGATAGGGAGGGCTATATAAAGGTCCTAGACCACATTTGAGTAACAAAAAGGCCAGAAGGAAAAATCTTCTCAGGACAGGTTTGTTTGGAATCCAACATCAAGTTCCATATGGTCAGTTCCAAAGGCATCAGCAATCATCTTGAAGCCCTGGGCCAATATCCTACTAAGAAAGTTGGCTTTACAAGGGTTAGACAGGCTATAAGAACAAAGCTTTAAAACTATGCTACAAAAATAATCAGCAACTATATGATGAATCCACTTTGTATAACAGTTCAAAGTCATGAGTCTAATTTTGAAGGTAACCAACTGAAAAGATAAAAATTCCAGACATATCTGGTGAGACTTGCTGTAGCTACTGAGTAGCATTTTATGGCTGGGTTGAATCAATGTGGAGAATGCCAATATTACCAAAGAGACCACCAATACAATTAGAACAAAAAGTTATGTTAGGGATATTTTCAAAGTTTCCCACTATATGAACGAAAATAATTTTTTTTTTTGAGACAGTGTCTTAGTCTTGCTCAGTCACACAGACTGGGGTGCAATGGTGCAAGCTCGGCTCACTGCAACCTCCACCTCCTGGGTTCAAGCAATTCTTGTGCCTCAGCTTCCCAAGTAGCTGGGATTACAGGTGTGTACCACCACACCCAGCTAACTTTTGTGTTTTAGTGGAGAAGGGGTCTCGAACTCCTGGCCTCAAGTGATCTGCCTGCCTTGGCCTCCTAAACTGCTGGGATTATAGAAATGAGCCACTGCATCCAGCGTAATAATTTTTTAGGTCAGATTTTGTCAAGTTACCAGCAGAAGCTACTGATTGTGAAATTTTAATTATACCATTATCCTGTCAAGTGAAAAAGATAGTATGAAGGTGGATAAAAGTCTCATTATTATAGAGAGTCTTGTTCTGAAGTCTTAGGAAAAAGTGTTTACAGTGTGGAAAATGTCAACTTTTCACTCTGATTTGCAGTTTGAATGTCTCTTGTTACATGGCATTGGCAGTGTGGTGAACTTTCTCTGTGGCTCATACATCAAGCATGACACTCGTTCCCTAAATTCATCTAGTTTTAGCTGATAGGAGATGTTCCCATTTTACTGCCTTTATGGAAGAAAGTGAGAACAGAGGAATGTAGCAGAATTTCGAAATGTACAGAGCTGCAATCTAATAACAGTTGTATTAGAGCTCTCCTTTAGAGACATGATTTCCCCCCACCCACATTGACCTTATCGGAATCTCAGATTTAAAAACCTCTTGAAATTAGGAAGCCAAACTGAGGCAAAGTTTAGATTTTACTTACTGTCTTAGGGTTCCTGGGCCTGCCAGGAAGTGAGTGATAGTTTTTATTTACCTACTATAAGACTGAGAACCATTGAAGTCAGACAATGTACGCATATTTTGTTTTTATTTATTTTTTTAGAGACAGAGGCTCACTCTGTCAGCTAGGAAGGAGTACAGTGGCACAATTATAGCTCACTGAAGCCTTGAATTCCTGTGATCAAGTGATCCTCCCACCTCAGAATCTGAAGTAGGTAAGAGTATAGGTGTGCACCACCATGACTGGCTACTTGTTATGACGATCGTTTTTTAGAGACAGCATCTAGTTATGTTGCTCAGGCTGGTCTTGAACTCCTGGCCTCCTCCCACCTCAGTCTCCCAAAGTGCTGGGATTACAGGTATGAGCCTCTAATGTCATACTACAGGTATATGACAGTTATATGGCATTTCAATTGAAAAAGATGAATATGACATATTACAGGTACATAACATTTTGGTTGAAGCCTTGGCAATATAACAAATATTTTTATTGTTTTATGCTATAAAGAGAGAGCAGATTTTTCTTGGACTTAGGTAAATAATCATATTGTCATAAAATGCCCAGAAATAGTTTTTGAATTCTGGGGAATTAAGTAAGAAGGAAACAAAAACAAATGCTTTTATCAGTGTTTACAAGAGTACATGTATATTAGTTCATTCTCACCCTGCTAATAAAGACATATCTGATACTGGATAATTCATAAAGGAAAGGTTTTATTGACTCACATTTCCACATGACTGGGGAGGCCTTAGGAAACTTACAATCATGGCAGAAGGGAAAGCAAACGTGTTCTTCACATAATGGCAGGATGGAGAAGTGCAGAGTGAAGGTGGGGGAAAGCCCCTGATAAAACCACCAGAGCTCATGAGAACTCACTTTCACAAGAACAGCCTGAGGGTAACAGCTCTCTTGATTCAGTTGCCTCCCACTACACACAGGGATTATGGGAACTACAAGATGGGATTTAGGTTGGGACATAGCCAAACTATATCATTCTGCCGCTCACCCCTCCCAAATCTCACATCCTCACATTTCAAACCACAGTCATGTCTTCCCAACAGTCCCCCAAAGCGCTAGCTCATTCCAGACTTAACCCAAAAGTCCAAGTCCAAAGTTTTGTCTGAGACAAGGCTTGTCCCTTCTGCCTATGAGCTTGTAAAATCAAAAACAGGTTTGTTACTTCCTATACACAATGTGGGTATAGGCATTAGGTATAGACAGCCATTCCAAAGGGAGAGACTGGCCAAAACAAAGGGGCTACAGGCCCCATGCAAGTCTGAAATCCAGTGGGGCAGTCATTAAACTTTAAAGTTCCAAAACGATCTCCTTTGATTCCATGTCTCACATCTGAAACCCGCTGATGCAGAAGGTAGGCTCCCGTGGCCTTGGGCGGCTCTGCCTCAGTGACTTTATAAGGTACAGCCCCCCTCAGCTGCTTTCATGAGCTGCTGTTGAGTGTCTGTAGCTTTTCCAAGTGCACTTTGCAAGCTGTTGGTGGATCTACCATTCTGGGCGTTTGGAGGACAGTGACCCTCTTCTCACAGCTCAGCTAGGCTTAGGTTTTCTAAGCCCCTTAGGAAACCATCAGATCTTGTGATAACTCATTATCACGAGAACAGCAAAAGGATAACTGCCCCCATGATCCAATTACCTTCCACCAGGTTCCTCTCACAACATGTGGGGATTATGGGAACTACAATTTAAGGTGAGATTTGGGTGGGGATACAGCCAAATCATATAAATACTTCACCAAATTGCTATAAATTATAGACAGTTTAAGAGAGAACATTTTCTTAAATTTATAAAAGAAAACATTTAAGTAGAGAACAATGTTTCAAACAACAACAGTCTTAAAAGCGTTATCTTCATTAGTTATTCAGTCTCATGTAGTCAACTTTCGTTCTGCTTGATCACCATGAGTAGTTTCATGAGATCTTCAGTCACCTTATTAGAGTTCTGGAGATCTTTATTTATCTTAGATGTGTCAGAAACCTCTATTTAACAGTACTTGCCAGAGTCTTTTACATGAGTCTAATTATAAATGTTTTTTGAGAAGAATTTTATAGAATAACTGTGGATGACAAAAACTCAGCATAACCATGGTTAAAAATCTGATAAACATTTATAATCAATGAGGAAATTTAGTTATTTCTAATGCATATAGTATTTTAAGATAACCAGAATTATGACTTATAGCATATTAGATTTCTATGACTATATAATTTTAGAAACATATAAACAGCATACCCATAAATGTAACTAGAAGATCTAGTACAATTTATCATTTGACAATGTTTATCACACAATTTACCATATAAGCCTAATCATTTAATATCTCTACAAGATGAGAAATATATCTTTTGAAGCTTTCCATAGGTCTGACTGGAAAACTTCAGAGTTAATTCAAGATCCAAAAACTTAACTTAGGATTTGATATTAGAGACATTTGTCAAAGATGTCAAGAGGTGCAACAGGCCATGTGTAGTGGCTTATGCCTGTAATCCCAGCATTTTGGGGGGCCACGGCAGGCAGGTCACTTGAGCCTGGGAGTTTGAGAACGGCTTGGGTAACACAATGAAACCCAGTCTCTACAAATAACTAAAAAATTAGCCCTGTGTGGTGGTACATGGCTGTGGTCCAGCTGCTAGGGAGGCCAAGGTGGGAGGATCACTTGAGCCTGGGAATCTGAGGCTACATTGAATGATGATTGTGCCACCACACTCCAACCTGGGCAACAAAGTGAGACCCTGTCTCAAAAAGAAAGAAAAAAAAGGCTCAGAACACTTGATCAAAACAGAGTCAGAGGTCACTATAAAATAATAGTCATTAATTTAACCAAAGTGACAATTGAAAGACTTCAAAAGCAATATGGAAAGTAACATGAATGTAAAAATATGAACTTTTCCAAAGCTCAGTTTTCCTAAGTAACAAAAACTTACTAAAGGCAACATGGGAAATTATCTGGTAAAGCATAAACTCTTTGTTTCTTAGGTCAGCTACCAAAAAGGCAAAGAACCTTGTGCAGTGTGATGACTTCTCCTTATGGGAAGCTCATTTAGCTAACCTAAATGGAAATCAAACCTGATAAAAAGAGTATTTGAATTTAATTAGAGGAAAAATGTGTCCAAGATTATGAGTGTACACTGTATCATAAAGGAATGTAAACAAGAAAACCAGTAGCTTGAGCAGAGGAATATATGACTTTTAGCAAAAGCATGGGAAGTTTCTTGGTTACATGGAACAATTCAGACATATCAAGAAAAGCCAGGAGTACAGAATCAAGTTACGCTAAACAAAACATTGCTTTTCTAAGTCTTCACGATAAACGCTTCGGTGTCAGGCCATGGTAGCAGAGTTAGAACCAGAGAGGGAAGAAGTTACAGGAGTTGGCAAGAAAGCTGAAGGAAAGAGTTACAATCCTGGAACTTTTCAAGGGGAGAGTAAGTGGGAGCCACTGAGGTATGACCGCAAATGATGTGCAGCAGATGCAGCAGAAGGTAGACTTCCGAGACACAGATCTGAAAAGTCTCAAAAACAGAACTCTAGCTCAAGAAAAGATGAAGTTAAATGAAGAGGATAGCATTTTAAATCGGAAACTAGGGAACTTAATCTCAAAAAGCAGACGGCTGTTAAACAGATGTTTAAAATTAAAAATCAAAACCTCTTGCAATTTAATTAAGAGCAGATCAATACTTTAAGAAAACTTCTATTTTAAATAGTGAGGTGTAGACTCTGGTCCTGTATCACTGTACCACTGACACCAATGTTTAATTTTTAGAAAAATACATAATTTATTTCCAATCCCAGACAACCTAATTACACATGTAACATACTTCATTAGGCCCATCTTTTGTAAATCTTCCGTGACTCGTTTAGATAGATCTCTTATCATTTTCTTACAACTTCTAGTCTTAATCCTATAGTTTTATTTTTAAACAATAAATTATTTTGTTACAGGACAAAAATCTACCACATAAAATTCTTTCTCATGCAAAATTATTTTTTCTTAAATTCGTGTTTTAATTAATAGATCTAAATATATTTACTTTTTATAAAATTTAAGAAGCCAAAAATGACCTCATGTTTATTTAGCAATTTGTTTCAGTTTTTAAAGATCTTATTTAGATACAATCCAGATATTTAATGAGTTTTATTTAATTTTACATGACAAAATTTTAAAATTTATATGAAAAGTTTACTTATTTTATGATTATCTAATTTATTTATTTTTTTAACAATTACACATAGATTGCCTGTTAATGTCAGGTGTTTACTAGATAAAAACCTTAAGATTAAAAACAAGGGTATCCTATTGAAAACTCAGAAGATGTAGCCATTTTAATCATATCAATAATATTAAGTTAATCTTTCTTATTAAATAATTAGATAAACAAAGACCATTTATTTTAGATTGAGTTTATATCTTTATGCCCTTAAAACATCTAGTGGTAGCAAATGTAAAACTGATCAGTAAACCCAAGCAAAAAAAAAATGTATGTTGACAATTTTGAAGACATTTCCAATCTTATTTTACTAACAGTTTAAAAATCAATGAATCTATCAAATATTTGAATCAATGAATCTTTCAAATATTAAGGCACATGAATGAAAAACAGGAAACCATTTGGCTTAGTTACTATGTGTTTTACGTGAGTGCTTATTTACTTAAACTAATCAGCATAAAATTTCCTGAGACATTTCTGACAACACCAGAGTTTTATTATTAAATTAATTATTAAGACAAGGTCTCTCTCGCTTGCCCAGGCTTGAGTACAGTGACTTGATCATAGCTCACTGCAACCTTGAACTCCTGTGCTCAAGTGATCCTTCTGCCTCAGCCTCCCAAGTCGCTGGAACTACAGGCAAACATCATCATGTCCAGGTATTTAAAAACAATTTTTGTAGAGATCTTGTCCAGGCTGCTCTTGAACTCCTGGGCTCAAGCAGTCTTCGTGTCTTGGCCTCCCAAAGCATTGGGATTACAGGCATGAGCTACTGCATCTCATCCATGTTTTATTACATAAGACACAACATGCAACATAATACATATACATATGAATAAACAACATATGAATAAAAACCTAAAGATTTTATAGTTTTTATTTTAGAATTTTAATCATCAGATAGGAAAACATATAAACTCACCAGTTTACAAAAGATATATCCAAATTATTTTTCTAACAAAATGCGATAAGGCTCAATGTTAAGATTTTTATTTTTATTTTTTATTTTTTTTGTAGAGATGGGGACTTGCTATATTGCCCAGGCTGGTCTGAAACTCGTTGTCTCAAGTGATTGTCACTTTAAGACTTTTAAAAATAGGCAATCTTATAAAGGCTGTGACCAAATTTAGGGCAAACGGTTTGAGCCAGTTACCAATATACTGAATTGGAGAAAGAATAGTTAACCGAGGAAATGTGACTGAATTATGTAAGGAGGCCTACAAGAGAAGAAGGATTCTAACAGTTTGTACAGCGTTTTCTTGGACTACATTTCCTGTCCTTGAAGATAAGAATGTTGCCAGTCATGTTAGTGCAGGGAAGGTGTCTTTTAGATGGGAATTTCATGTTTTGCTATTAAGAAACAGAATGAAGGTCAAAGTGATTTTCTTTCGCATCTGCAGGGTTTTAAGTGTTTTTACTTAAATAGTCAATATGCTAGAATAGCTGAGGAATTTTGAAAAAAAAAAAAGAGTTTAGCTTAGAGAAGGTAAATTCTCTAAGAGGAGGAGTTGTAAGAAGAGAGAAAGACAGCTCTGGAAAGAGTCTCAGCTCGCTCCAACATTATTTCGTAACGGGAATCTTCGAGTCCTGAATAATTTTTTTTAGCCTCAAGATATCAATAAAATATGCATATTTTATTTGGAGCGTGTGATCCTATAGCCATAGGCTTTTAGGTTAGTTTTAAGAACAGCAGACTGTTTGAATGATCCCTACAATATTTGAACATGTTACCAGCTGGAACCTCGGAAAATATCTTGGCATGCCTTTGCAGTTTGAGAGCTCATTTCATGGGTTCTCTAGTTTAATGCCAAATACACAAAGCCAATTAAATTCAAGCACCGAATGTGCAGAGGCCAAATAAATGCAAGAGCCGATGGAAAATAAAGTATGGACTTCGCGGGGAGGACGCCAGGTCTTCTCCAGATGAAGGAGAAAAATCCCCTCATCCAAACCTTGGAGCCGATGGAAAATAAAGTATGGACTTCGCGGGGAGGACGCCAGGTCTTCTCCAGATGAAGGAGAAAAATCCCCTCATCCAAACCTTGGAGCTGAGATCAACAGGAGAAAAATAACTTTCCCCTACAGGAGATCTTTCAAAACAGGAGTGGGAGAAACCCTACCCAACCAAATCACAAACAAAACGGAACTCAAACAAAATCAAGGGGGAAAAGAGGCCACCTGCAGGGTTCAAAAGGCGCCACTGTGGGTACCCCGCACGCACGGCAGTTCCAAGAACCAGTAATTCCTCCCGGGGTGAGTCAGCTTTGGGTTTTACTAACGGCACAGTGTATGACAAAGTCAAAAAAAAAAAAAATCATGCAGAGAAAAATCTCTAATTTAACATTTTATTTGGGATACAAGAATTGCAGTTTGGGGCATACACACAGACCAGGTGGTCTTTGGTATGTCTGAGGAATAGAGTTGAGGTTGGAGATTTTACGAAAAGGAGATGCGCTGTGTATTACTTTGATCACTGGCACTGGTTAAGTTTCGGAGAGCTGGCAAGTGCTGACTGCTGAGTGGCAGCAGTGGGTAAAACTAGTCTTCCAGGTGCAACCTGTTGTTTCAGAAGGTATTGGGTAAAACTGGTTTCAGATGACAGCGGGAAATCCAGCAGCCAGGCATGCGAAGTTATATTCTTGGAGCAACGTTCTGTGTCCTTAGAGCCTCCCCCGGGCTTGACTCTGGGTTAGCTGGGCATGACAGGGATGACCCCATTCATACGATCGGCTTTCCCAGTTCCATCTATTAATTCCGAATGGGTGCCTCCTGGCTGGTTCCATTTCTCGCGTGTCTGGAATTACTTATTCTCCTCCATTAAAAAAAATTATTCCTTCTGGAATTGCTATTCCCATTTCTTATTTAATTCCTGTTTTCCTTTCAGGCCTTGCTGTGTTACCCTGTTATTTACTGTTCCGTAGACATTTTATGTTTTTTTCTTCTTCCACGTTGGTCCCGTAATTCTTTAGGGCTCTATCAAGGCTTCAAGTGGATTTTTTTTTTTTTTTCTTTGAGACAGTCTCACTCTTGTCTCCCAGGCTGGAGTGCAACGAACGGCAGGATCTTGACTCACTGCAATTCTGCCTGCTGGGTTCAAGCGGTTCTCCTGCCTCGGCCTCCAGAGTAGCTAGGATTACAGGCATGCACCACCTCGCCCAGCTAATTTTTTGTACTTTTAGTTGAGACTGTGTTTCTTCATGTTGGTCAGGCTGGTCCTGACCTCAGGTGATCCACCGGCCTCGGCCTTCCAAAGTGCTGAGATTACAGGTGTGGGACACGCACCTGGCCAATAGATGTTTTATGTTTCACCCAGCTTGGGAGTTGGATAATTAATCTGCATTGCCTAATCCACTGTTATCAGAAGCTAATAACAACAACGACAATAATAATTCTTTTCTGTTTAACCTATCTTTTATATCTTCTCTTATTTCTGCTCCATATTCTGGAAGATTTCTCCAATTATATTTTCTGTATCCCCTGCTTATTCTTTACCATTACCCACTGTAATACTGTAACTTGAAATTAAAAAAAATAAATAAATAGAGACAGGGTCTCACTCTTTTGCCCAGGCTGGAGTGCAATGCTATGATCATAGCTCACTGCAGCCTTCAACTCCTGCTTAAGCAACGCTTCCACCTCAGTCTCTCAAGCACCATGGACTAGAGGTATACACCATCATGCTCGGCCAAATTTTTATTTTTAAATTTTTTGTAGAGACAGGGTTTCACTATGTTGTCCAGGCTGATCTAAAACTCTTGGCCTCAAGTGATCTTTCCACCTTGACCTCCCAAAATGTTACAGGCATGAGCCCCTGCACCTGGCCAGCTTTTGCTTTTACTTTTTTTTTTTTTCCTTAATGGAGTCTTGCTCTGTTACACAAGCTAGAGTGCAGTGGCTGCTCTCGGCTCACTGCAGCCTTTGTCCCCTGGGTTCAAGTGATTTTCCTCCCTCAGCCTCCCGAGTAGCTGGGACTAGAGGCATGAGCCACCATGCCCACTAATTTTTGTATTTTTAGTAGACAGAGTTTCACCATGTTGATCAGGCTGGTCTTGAACCCCTGACCTCAAGTGATCTGCCAGTCTCAGCCTCCCGAAGTGCTGGGATTACAGGCATGAGCCACCATGCCTAGCAGCTTTTACATTTTTAATGATGTAAAGGTAAAGGAGGATTTATGATTATATATTACATTACAAATGTAGTGAGAGATTTATTTGAGGAGTTTTGGGTAGAAATCTGATGATGTTCCCTTGTAGGTGTTGGAAGTTAACATGCTATATTTATTCTCTGTTAAGATCCTGCACCCACACTGTGCGTCTCCGCACACAGGTGGCTGACTTTTTCTGTGAGTTAATCGAAGCATATTAGAGGTAGAGGAAGTAATGTATTAAACAGCATATGTCTTCCACCTAACTCAGACATGTAAGTTTACACATTTAATGTGGTCAAATTTATTTATAGTTTGTTCTCTTTTGTCTTACCTGCAAAATATTTTTTCCCAGGTTCAAAAAAAAATCTTGATATTTAGATATTTTATTGTCTTTTCTTCCTTTCCTTTCCTTCATTTCTTTCTTTCCTTTCTTTTTCTCTTTTATTTTCTTTCTTTCAGGGCTTACTACGTTGCCCAGTTTTTTACTGTTTCATATACATTTTTGAATCTCTGATCATAGTCTATGAGAAACCCTGTTGAGATTTTAACTACAACTGCTTTCGATGTGCACATACATCGAGCAAACATTCTAACATATAATGTTGGTTAATTTACTTTGGTCTTTATTAATTTTCCAGTTCCCCACCCCCCACCAAAAAACTGGTGCATATTTTGTTAGCTTTATTCCTAGAGTCTTATGTTTTGTCTTTTCAAAATTAATAAATTTGGTCAGGAGTGGTTACTCATGCCTATAATCCCAGCTCTTTGGGAGGCTGAGACAGGTGGATTGCATGAACTCAGGAGTTCAAGACCAGCGTGGGCAACATGGCACAACCCCATCTCTCACACACACACACACACACACACACACACACACACAGAGGCACGCAATACAAAAATTAGCCAGGTATGGTGGCACACACCTGTAGTCGCAGCTACTTGTGAGGCTGAGCTGAGAGGATGGCTTGAGCTGGGAGGCAGAGGCTGCGGTGAGCTGTGATGGCACCACTGCACTCCAGCCTGGGTGAGAGCGAGGCTCTATCTGCAAAAACAACATCAACATTAACAACAAAATTAATAAAGTTCATCTTGAGGAACATTTTTCGATTTACAGAAAAAATTAGTATAGAGTTTCCATGTATGCCCCTATAAATAATTTTCCCTATTATTAACATTATACTAATATATATGGTACATTGGTTAAAATTAATACACCAATATTGATACATTATCATCAGCTAAAATCCATAGTTTATTCGGATTTCCACAGTTTTTACCTAACGCATTTTTTGTGTTTCAGGGTTCCATCAGGATTCATTTTGTCCTCATGTCTCCTTAGGATCTTTCTGGCTGTGATAATTTCTCCAATTTTTGTTTTTGATGACCTGGAGAGTTTTGAGGAGTACTATGAGGTATATTGTAGGATGCCCTCTATTGAAACTTTTTTTGATATTTTACTCATGATTAGCAGGGAATTATGGATATCACAGGGGTACAGTGTCATTTCTATGACATCGTATCAATGAGACACTAACAGTGTGATTTATCACTGTCGATGTTGACCCTGGTCACCTGGCTAAGATAGTGTACGTCAGTTTTCTCCACCGTAAAGTTACTGTTTCTCAACTTTCTATACTGTATTCTTTAAGGGAAATCCCTATGTACACCTAACACTTACGGAGTGAGAGGTTATCATCCCCTTCTTGAGGGCAGAGTGTCCACATAAATTATTTGAAATTCTCCTGCATGGGACATTTGTTTCTTCTCTACCATTTGTTTATTTATTCAATCATTTGTTTTCACCAGAATGGACTCATGAACACTTATTTTAGATTTTTTTGCAGTACTACTTTTTAAATTATGTTGCTCAAATTGTTTCAGCTTTGGGTATTGAGATGTTTTAAAATTATCTCCTGTGCCCTTCTGACATACTCCAGACAATGTATGTGTATTTTCAGTACTTTACTTTCTGGCACTAAAAGATGTGCCAGGCTCATCCCCTATATTTTCTGCCCTAATCCTAGAATCAGCTTTCTTCAAGAAGTTCTGGTTCCTCGTATTGGAGAGTGGTGTTAGAAACCAAGATCTAGGTGCGAGGTATGCTCATGGCTAGTAAGAAGTCATTTCTTTTAGGGCCTGTCTGCTGACTGAGCAAAGATAGACGTGTTTGTATACTAACACATCTATCCATGGATATAAGATCTTATGTTTTCTCTTAGTACCATAAATAGTATTTTTAAAATAAAAACTTTAAAGTGGAACAAATATACAGAAAATGACATGACACAAAAACGTATAGTTCAATGAAACATTTCAAAGCAATTCCCTGTGCACCACCATCAGGTCCAGAGATAACAGTATTAATAGATAGCATGAATAACCTATTTTATCTGGTATTAACATAGATCACAGATATATATTTGTTATTTTTATTTTCTTAGTCATTATTTCATATGCTCTTTTCCCTCTATACTTTTTCCTGCATTTCCAAACTTCCATTTGGATAATATTTTCTTTTATTGCAGGACTGCTGGTGATAAATTATGTTGTCCTGTTTGTCTGGAAATGTCTTATCTAACTTTCATTTTTATGGTTATTTTTGCTGGGTAGAAAAAATTCTGAGTTGAAAATTATTTCACTGTTTTGAAGATATCATTCCACTGTTTTCTGGATGCTATTGTTTCTTTTGAGAAGTCAGCTATTATTCTAATTGTTTTTTCTTCAAAACTAATTGTCTTTCTTCCTCTAGCTTTTTGAAGATTTTTCTTTTTTTGTGTTTGTTTTCAGGACTTTCACTATAATGTGCAGAAGTGTTATTTTCCTTTTATTTATCTCCTTCTATTTCTGCTGTGCCTGTTCTACCTATGATAGATTTTCTTACTGCAGTTATGTCTTTATGACATAAGGACATTTCATTCTAGACATTTTCATTCTAAACCTTTTATTATTTTTTATTATTTATATATTTAGACATTTTATTAGACACTTTCTTCTGATTTGTCTTCTGGGTCAATAATTCTCCCTTTGGTTGTGTCTAATTTTCTGTTAAACCACAGTTCCTAAGTCCTTAATTTTGACTGAGTTTGTCTATTTCAGATATCCATTGATTTGTTTGTGATTTTTAGTTCTCCGTGAAGGTTTGTAATCTTATTTTTCATTTCCTTGAACATATTAAGACTAGTCATTTTAAAGCTGAGTCTTAATAATACTGTTTGGAGCCACTGCAGGTTTTTTTCTGTTGTCTGTTATCTCTTCTCGATTTTTGGTATTAATGTCTTGTTTCTTCAGATGTTTGGTTATTTTTACTTCACATTGAACATTGTGTCTTAAAATCTGTAGACTTCATTTGAGGCCTATGATGATGTTTTATTATTTGGGAAATATTTTGTTTTTGGAAGATGACATGGAACACTTAGCAATCTCAACTTCCATCAATACATGTATACTAGCTTCTTAGCCTCACAGTCGCTTATTCTGGAATATGCTAATGCCCTAGGAAAAGTAGCCCCAAATACTATGCTTACCTCTCTAGGTTATTTTCCTCTTCCAGCTTGGTCCCATAACTCTTTAGGCCTCTCTCATGCCTTTGAGTGGATGTTGTTTGATTTTGCATACAGCTTTGGAGTTGCAGATTTGGTCGGCATTACCTAATCCACTATTATCAGAAGCCAATTATTTCTTTTTAAAAAAAATTTCTTTCTTGCTAGTAAACAGGAATGCAATTGATTTTTGTATATTAACGTATAAACCATTAACTGTTCTCAAAGTGTTTGTTAGCTTAATAATTTCTCTAGATTTGCTGGAATTAACCAGGTAGACAATTATATTAGTTATAAAAAGATAGTGGTTTTGTTTATTCCTTTCCAATTCTACTGTCTTTTATTTCTTAATATTGTCTTTTTGTTGTTGTTGTTTTTGACAGAGTCTCACTCTGTTGCCCAGGCTGCAGTGCAGTCTCACTCACTGCAACCTCAACCTCCTGAGCTCAGGCAATCTTCCCACCTCAGCCTCTATGGTAGCTAGAACCACAGACATGCACTACAAGACCTGACTAATTTTTAAATTTTTTGTAGAGACAGGCTCTTATTATGTTGCCGAGGCTGGTCTCAAACTCCTGGGGTCAAGTGATCTTCCCACCTTAGCCTCCCAAATTGGTTGGATTACAGGCACGAGGCACCAAGCCTGCCAGCCTATGAATCCTTAGATGAGCATTAATAAAAGGAAGGAGAATGGGTAGCCACATTGTATTCCTACTTCTTGGTGGTTCTGCTCATGGTAGTCCTCTATGTCATCGTTTGCACCCCACATGTTGTGTATATTTTTCATTATTGTTCATGTTTAAATATTTTCTAATTTAGAGAAGGAAATAATGTTACAAAAGCCTGGTACAAACTGGAACTGTGGGATAGTATTGTAGTGTGTTGGGCTGCTATAACAAAAGATGAGGTGATTTATAAACAATAGAAATGTATTGCTCACCCTTCTGCTGGCTATGAAGTCTAAAATCCAGGCACCAGCAGATTCAGTGTCCAGTGAGGGCATGTTCCTCAAAGATGGTGCCTTCTGTGTATCCTCAAATGGTGGAAGAAACAAACAAGCTGCCCCAGGATCTTTATAAGGACACTAATTCCACCCATGAGGGCAGAGCCTCCATGATCTAAATCCTCCCAAAGGCCTCACCTCTCAATACCATCACCACAGGGGTTAGGTTTTAATATCTTTATCTGCAGTCCAACACTCTACCTCTGAGCCATATATAAAACCCTCCTAGGTTTTAATGCCTGAATGTTGCAGGGCCATACAACATTCAGTCTATAGCAGAAACTATCGTTTTTTAAACTTTTTTATTTATGTTTTTGAGACAAGGTCTTACTCTCTTACCCAGGATGGAGTGCAGTGGCACAACCATGCATGGCTCACTTGAGTCTTGACCTCCTAGGCTCCAGTGATCCCCCCACATCAGCCCCCAAGTAGGTGGGACTACAGGCATGCACTACCATGCTAGGCTAGTTTTAAAGTTTTTTGTAGAGACTATATCTTGCTGTGTTATCCAGGCTGATCTTGAATTCCTGGGCTCAAGTGATCCTCTTGCCTTGGCTTCCCAAAATGCTGGGATTCCATGCATGAGCCACTGCGTCTGTACAGGAGCCATATTTATAGAAAGACATTGCATTGCCAGAATTGTGTTGCTGAAGCAGGAAGGAAATGAAGGATGTATTCTGACCTTTCTATTTCTCCATTCTCTAACTATCTGCTAGTGACTCCCCTTGGTTGATTTCAATTTGGAAGCTGAGCTTAATGAAGTCTGAGACATGCTGTCTGTGGAGTTAGCACCCCCAGGACACAGTGCATAGAAGGAAAGGCAGACAACAAATCTGAGATTGAAGAACAGAGAAGAATAAGCAACTGTGCAACTTACTCATATAGCCATTGGACTAAATTTGTTATTTAAACTGCTCAATTATTTTATATCATTACTAATTTTTGAGGGAGCTTATAATTTACTGAGAGATGTAAAAATTCCTCACTATGTTTATGGATTTGTTTATTTCTATTTTTTTTAATTTATGCTTTTTGCTTTTGAGACTATGTTATTGGATGTATGCACATATAGAGTTGTTATATTTTCCACTTCCAATGGAAATTTTTATCATTAGGTGTCAACTCTATTCATCTCTGTACTTTTATTGTCTCTAATATTAAGTAGCTGACTTTATTTCAATTTCTGTTTTTCTATTATATGATTTACCATCCTATGCTTATTAATATTTCTCTGTTTTAGTTTTTGAGATTTATTTATTTTTTGAGATAGAGTCTTGCTTTATCTCTCAGGCTGGAGTGCAGTGGCACAATCATGGCTCATTGCAGCCTTGACCTCTGGAGCTCTCAGGTGATCCTCCCACCTCAGCTTCCTGAGTAGCTGAGACTCTAGGTATGCATCACCATGCCTGGTTAATTTTATAAATGTGTTTTTTGTAGAGACAGGCTATGTTGCCCAGGCTGGTCTCAAACTCCTGGGATCCAGTGATTCTCCCACCTTGGCCTCCCAAAGTGCTGAGATTACAGGTGTGAGTCACCACCCCCAGCCTTTTATTGGTTTAGATATGTCTGTGCTTAACAGCATATAGCTATATGTTATTTCTTTATTTTTTAAAAATCCAGTGTAGCATTTTCTTTTAACTTGAGAATTTACTCCATTTATATTTGTTGTGATTTCTGATTTGTATTTATGTATGCCATCTGCTTATGTACTATTTATCCTGCCCTTCCTGTTTTTTTTTCTTTCTTACTATATCATTTAAGTGTCCAGTCAGGAAAACAGGGAATACCATATGTATTTCACATAAAGGGAAATTATTATAAAAATATTAGAAGTACTAGAGGAGCAGAAAGGTGAGCATGAGGTTACCAAAAAATTAGTAACTAAAAGTGATTATTGTTACTCCTAGGGCTAAAGAGGCCAAAGAGAAAATGAAGTTGAAACCATGCTGTCTGCTACCTTTGACAGTTGCCACTCTTTTTTTTTTTTTTTAGATGAAGTCTTGCTCTGTTGCCCAGGCTGCAGTGCAGTGGCGCGATATTGGCTCACAGCAAACTCCTTCTCCTGGGTTCAAGTGATTCTCCTGCTTCAGCCTCCCACCTCAGCCTCCAGAGTAGCTGTGACTACAGGCATGCACCACCATACATGGCTAGTTTTTGTGTTTTCAGTAGCGATGGGGTTTCACCATGATGTCCAGGCTGGTCTCAAAAACCTGCCCTCAAGTGATCCACCTACCTTGGCCTCCAAAAGTGCTGGAATTACAGTTGTGAGCCACCAGCTGACAGCTGCCACTCTTGTTGCCACCAAATGCTAGGGGGGAAAGTGAATTCTCCTTCCTACTCTTCAGTCCGCACAAGGGCTTTCCACTGGCGTAATTCAGCAGAAAGCCAAGTAAGGAGCCTGGTTTCCCACTTCTATACTCAGGAGTGCAGAAGAAAAAGGCTTGTTAAATAAATATTACCCACCACTCCTACTGTCTTTCAAAACATTAAAAATATCTTATTATTCAATTTTTATTATTTAGAAGTTATGCATACTGTTTTTCTGATAGTTACTGTAGGCATTGAACTTGCAAGACCTGAAGTTAATTAAATCCTTACCCTCCCCCAGTAATAGAAAGAGCAATTTGTATGCATCGTTATCCAGTATTTTGATATTTTTTCTCAGAGACATTGTTTACAGAGTAATTGTTTGTTTGACTTTTATTCAAACTTAATATAATAATATCTTTGCTTACCGTGCCTTCTTGCATCTTGGAAGTGCTTTTATTTTTGTCTTAAGTACTGACTTTAGGATTTTCTTTAAAGAAAATCTATCAGTTTACCCTTTAAGATTCAGTCTAAAATATATGTATTTTACTTTCATTTTTGTAAGGCCATTGCTTGGGGCAAAGATTTCCAGAGGGACATACTCTCTTTCTTTCAACTTTGAGAGACTCTTCCACTGCCTTTTGGCTTCTATTGCCACTGCACAGAAATCAGCAGTTCAGTCAATTGCCCTTCCTTTATGCTGATCTGATTTTTCTTTCTGCCAGCTTTTGAGAACTGTTTGCCTTTTGAATTCTGTAATTTTACTTTGATTGATCTATTTTGTTTCTAAATGTTTCTAAGGATCCACTGAGCTTCATTGCTCTGAAGATTGGAAGCTGTTAACAGCATTAGAAGATACCCACCCACTCGCTGTGGCCTCCCAACGTGCTGGGATTACAGGCGCCAGTCACCGTGCCTGGCCGATTTTAAATTTCCAGTTATTTTTTTTATTTCTAAAGCTTACTTGGTTATTTTTAAGATTTCCTATTTCTTTGATTATATTGTTGAGTTTCTAATATTTTAAAATCCTACTAAACATAGTTATTCTGTAATCCTTGCTGTAATTTCTGAAGTCTGAGGATTTTGCGTTGCTGTCTGTGTGGTTCTCAGTTTAGTACCTTGTTCCCGTGTATGCTTCGCAATTTTTAAAATGTATTTACTTGTTTCTTTTTATTGTGAGAAGCTAATATCTTTGGAATTTCACCTTTAGGGATTCTTAATGCCTCAGGTGAAGGTGAATTTCTATACTGGGGACTTGCTTTTATTCTTCCAAGTGCTTAAGGTCCCTAATAACCTGGCAACCAAGTTAAAATCTCAGCTTGGAGTTTTTCAGTAAGTGGTGTAAATGCAGACTGCAAACACACATAAAAGCTGGCCATGTCTTAAAAATTCCCACATCACATGGTATGCTGTGATGTGGTTGAGAAAGACAAAGTTTCCTTATTGTCCTTTTCTGCTTGGCAAATTTATTTCTCATTTTTCTTATATTGAAGTAAGGTTCTAGGTTTATGAGCATGGGCTACCATAGACTTCCCAACGGGGGCAGGATCTGGGCCAGAACCCTGCAAGTGGTATTCCTCAGCCTTTGTGAGCCACGAGAAAGGGTGGGGCTCCACCTCTTCTCCATTCCCTTTGGCACCTGGGGCCCCACATAGCCACCCGAGAAAGAGCCCAGGAGCTCCAGCTTTGGCCTAAGATGAAAGATACTTTTGGTACTAACAAGGATTTCTGTTTCCATTAAAATTTCAGCCTCTATGGATTTTTTAACCTCCTGCTGTCTCAGCAATGCATTAAAAAACATATTTTAGCATATTAAGCACTTCAGTGTGAGGGTTGTTCAGGATATCCAGAATATCCAGCCTGCTATATTGCTGGATATTGAAGTCTTTTATCAACTCCCTCCTGTCCATTAAACATTGAGTTCCTAGAGACCAGGGACTGTGATTGATTCGTCTTTATACCCTAGGACCTGACACACATTAGTGTATACATAGGAATTATTATTTGAATAAATGCCAAAACCAATCATTTCAAGTTGAAAAACTTGGTTACTGATTCTTTTTCGTCGTTGCTGTTGTTTTCCTCAGACAGAGCTTTGCTCTTGGTGCCCGGGTTGGACTGCAGTGTTGTGATCTCCGCTCACTGCAATCTCTGCTTCTCAGGTTCAGGCGATTCTCTTGCCTCAGGCTCCTGAGTAGCTAGAATTACAGCTGTGTGCCACCACGTCCAGCTAATTTTTGCATTTTTAGTAGAGATGAGGTTTCAGCATGTTGGTCAGGCTGGTCTCAAACTCGTGACCTCAATGCTGGCATTACAGGCATGAGCCACCACGCCCAGCCATTGGTTTGAAATTCTAAACACAATAAAAGCAATTTCCTTTCTGAAAGCTCTCAAGGCTTTAACGCCATAATGTAGACTAGAGAATCCTCAGGAAGCTGGTTATCCTCATGAACTATGTTTTAGTTAAATTAACTGGGAAGATGCCCGATTTGTACTTTAATTTTCATTATATGGACTCACTCCAATAGGACAGTAGAAAAGTTTATGTTGTAGCTAAATTGCCCAATTACATGAATCAGATTGCAAAGGTTAGGAAAGTGTTCTTCACACACACACAAGCGCGTGCGCACACACGCACACACACGCACACGTGCACACACATGCACATGCACACGCACACACACGCACACACACACTTACATATATTTTACTTCTACTTTCAGTGATATTTTACATTCCATCTTTGGTATTGACATTTGCCACGATCATTGGGTTATCCCACTGGTCCATTCCTTCATCATTCGGTGTTCATTTCTTCAATCAACTTTTGTGGAGTGTGCCTCACATGCACGGTGCTTAACACTGGGCCTACAAAGGTCATGCATATTCACTGCCCTCAGTGTTCTCCCAGTCAGTGACTCACATTAATAATCGCAATACCATTAAAAAACAACAGTAAAAGTACATATCGGGCACAGCAGTGGCAGAAACGAGAGAGTGGGCTACTGTGTTTAGGAGCAGCTGGGAAGGCTTCGCTGGAGAAGAGAGTCCTTTGTTGAAGGTGGAATGAAGAGTGGTGTCTCTCAGCCAAGTGACGTGAAACCAGGGAGGCAGAGAGCAGTGTGTGGCCTGGTCTCCCCATTAGGGGTCCCAGGTTGCCTTCCTGTGAAGGACAAGGCTGCTCAACGCTCATGCGTGACCAGATGTTATTTTTTAAAATTTACTTGAGATGGCAGCCTCACTGTGTCACCGAGGCTGGAGCGTAGGGGTGTCATCTCAGCTCACTGCACCCTCCGCCTCCTGGGCTCAAGCGATCCCCCCATCTCAGCCTCCCAAGTAGCTGGGACCACAGGTGCATGCCACCACGCTCAGCTAATCTTTGTATTTTTATATAAAGAGCCGGGGTTTTACCATGTTGCCCAGGCTGGTCTTAAACTCCTGAACTTAAGTGATCAGCCTGCCTCGGCTTCGCAAAGTGCCAGGATTACTGGCATGGGTCATCGTGCCCGGCCAGTGCTCCGATGTTCTTGACCACTCAAGAACTCCTAATTTTTCTTGACCATCTCCTAGGACTATGTTCCCTGGCACTTCTAAGGTGACAGTTGCTTAACAGATGTCCCGCCTGCTGCCTTCACTCTTCCTGGACCGTGTGCATTTTCACAGGCCTCCGGCCTCAGTGTCCTTTCTTCTTGTACTTCTTCTTCCTCCTTCCCTTTCTCTCTTAATATCATAGAGAATTTTAATGTATTCGTTGCTATCACTCTCTTCCTATGAGCACTAAGTTGAAATTTAATGTTTTAAATAAATGTAAATTCAAACTGCTGTCTCAATTTAGAAACATAAGTGGTACAATTTAATACAAACCAAGAGAAAACACAATAAAAATGTCCAGTCTACATGTGTCCAACTAAACGTTCCTGGTCTCTCAAGACCACGCTTCCTGTTTTCACTTATCCATCCTCTCTTCAACTCGCATTTCTTATATTCTGAATTAAAATTCAGGGTGCACATATTTTTCCCATTAATTTCTATAGCATTTTAGTAGACTCTCCAAAGTTATACATTGGTGTGCAGGAAGAAATATTAGAACTAATATTTATAATGTATTTTTTAATCTTATGCTTTTAGAAGGGCTATTGTGCATGCTTTATAATATATGTTAGCATATTTCATGGGCATAATTTATAAGTGAATATGCTTACGCTAGGGTGCATGCTCAGACATTACTTGCTGTGGGGCGGACTGGTTTGTTTAATCCTTTTCTCAAGCAAAATGCCTATGGTTTTAGAAACTGTTCTACCAGGCAGCTCCCCTGTTTCCCAACTGTCTCAGCAGCTCTGCCAAACAAGATTTAAAAGGGTGGAAAATCTGAATCATAAACATACCCTTATCTTTCTAATGTTTTGTTCAGTGGTAAGAGTTTTTCTATCTTTCTGAATTTGTTTTCTAACACTAAGAATTTCTGAGCTGCTTAGTAAGGATGCAGGTTCCTGGGAGGTGCTGGGGGAGATACTTTGAGAAAAGCACACATTGGCAGTTCCTCCCACAAAGCATGTCATCTGAGCATTTACTGACGTGGACTCCTCGTGGCCTTGGAGCTGAAGGGTCTCTCCTGACCACCAGACCTCAGGGGCGAAGCCTTTTTCTGCCCTGATAATTGGTTCTATCTACTGAAGTGCCCCCTTTAAAAACCTCACAAATGCCCACATTTCATGGGCTTAGAAGTTTTAAAACCCCACCTCTACTTAAAAAAAAAAGTTTGAACAATTTTAAAGCTTAGTTTGCTTTTCTTTGCCAATTCAGTGGGAAATGAACATTTTACAAATTTAATGTCAAATTTAATTTTTTTATTACATGTGTCTGATTCAGAATTCAGAATGAGTTTTGTGGCTCCGTATACATTCCAGCATGGGTGACGGAGGCTCGCCTCCTCTGAAGAGTCACAGATCTCCTGCGTTTCTTGTGAAGCTCTCTTCTTCGCATTTTAAGATGGGCTCAACGCTGAAACGTCTGCTGAAGCCCTTTGCACTTCTGTTCCGAGGAAAAGACATCTTGGAATCTTGGCCCTTTGATAATTTATGGTTTGAAATCTGTATCAGATAAAGAAAAGTTAGTTAGGTTCAGGTGCCTTTCTAACACAAATTTTTCCTAAATAAGGATTTTGGTCTTTCAAATGTAGCTTGAACGTTTCCAAGGTTTATATTTTACAGGTAAGAAAATGTGGCAAAGACATGGCACACTCTGTGGGCCCGTGACTGCCTGGTTTCTCCACCCCATGCCCCTTTGTCTTCCTGCCTTATCGCCAACCCCTTGCTAACACTGCGGGTACCAGCGCGCCTCGGGAAGCAGTTCCCAGGCTTTCATTGCCCGTGAGTCTCTCCGCTCTCATTTCACCACTGCTAGATCCTTCAATGAAGCCAGAGCAGTTTTCCAGCCAACCCATGGTGTCTATTTATGGCTCCGCCATGAGGCCTGACCTTTGGGAATGAGTGACTGGTCCCGACAGTGGGGTGCAGGAGCCTGGAAACACTGGCCGCCAGTCACTGTGACGAGTCATGCTGCGAGTCTCCATTAGATCCACTCAGAATGGGTTTCTGAGGCAGTCGTCCTTCTGTGAAGAATTGCAGTGTGAAGTCTGAAACCAACTGACGGGGTTGAGTCTCTGCCACTTCCCAGAGGGGCTTTTTACCAAAGACTTCGTGTTTTAACCTGTCAATGGGCTAGTTAAATAATGCCTAAGAAGGCCGGGCGCGGTGGCTCACGCCTGTAATCCCAGCACTTTGGGAGGCCGAGGCAGATGGATCACGAGGTCAAGAGATCGAGACCATCCTGGTCAACATGGTGAAACCCCATCTCTACTCAAAATACAAAAAATTATCTGGGCACGGTGGCGCGTGCCTGTAATCCCAGCTACTCAGGAGGTTGAGGCAGGAGAATTGCCTGAACCCAGGAGGCGGAGGTTGCGGTGAGCCGAGATCGTGCCATTGCACTCCAGCCTGGGTAACAAGAGCGAAACTCTGTCTCAAAAAAAAAGAAAAAAAAAAATGACTAAGAACACCCACCCTGATTAATCTAGTGGGTTATTATGAAAAGTGAACGACAAAGATGTAACAGCATACTTTGTAAGTTATAAAGTTTATAATCTCAAGTTGCTATTTATTATACTCCAAGTTAGATGCCTTTTCCCAGCTAAGTCTTTGTTAAATTCTAATCCTTGGCCCAAAATTCAGCATCATGCAAATACATTCATGTAACGAATGTACACATGTATCTAAAACAAAGTAGATTTAAATCTAAAACAGAATCGAAAATAAAGTAGATCAAATACTATAATTAACTAATTTGACCTAATTTGACATACATAGAAAGCTGTACTCAACAACGACAAATTCACATTCTTTTTTTTAAGATAGGGTCTTTCTCCATCACCGAGGCTGGAGTGCAGTGGCACGATCCCAGCTCGCTGCAGCCTCGACCTCCTGGGCTCAAATGATCCTCCCACCTCAGCCCCCTGAGTAGCTGGGACCACAGCCACATGCTGCAATGTTGGGCTGATATTTTCTTTTTTTTGTAGAGACAAAGGTCTTGCTATGTTTCCCAGGCTGGTCTAGAACTGCTGGTTTCAAGCAATCTTTCCACCTTGGCCTGCCAAGGTACTCAGATTACAGGCAGGAGTCGTCGTGCCCGGCTTTGAATTCAAGTACCTATGGAGTGTTTATGCAGATTGACTGTGTGCTGGATCACCATGCCAGTGCAAATAAATTCTAAAACCTTGAGCTCCTTAAAGGAAATTCTAATGCTCAGTTGCTTGGGTGGCACCTAACCTTAGGCGGTTTCATGAAGCTGAGCAACCTCAGAGCTCTCACTTCCTCACTGTCTCCCAGTTCTCCCAGGGAATGTCCTCAGCAGGGAATTCCAAGTTCCTGGGTCGCTGTGGTGGTGTTCACCCAAACCTGCCCTCTCCAGGCAGCAAGGTCCACTCCAGAGACCCTCTTCCTCCTCCCAACGAGCACCTCCCCATCGGGAGAAACTTGTCATTCTCG